TCGTTGTCTTGCTTAAACTCCCTATTAGATGCACTCTCTCAACTTAATCTAAGTATCAACCTCAAACAAAGATTGTGCCCTAGGATTTTGCATCAATGTAACCACGTATAACTCTTAAACTTGGGCATGGTAAATAATGAAACTTCTTGTGTAGGCTTATCTTATATAAATTCTAATTTGAAATTAAAAAGCGTATAATATATTATACCTTAGAGAATAACTGAAATAAAAACTTAACGCCCATGACCAAAACAGCTCAGGTTCGAAATCGGAATTAGCAGCCATTGATTGCAGTTGAATTGCTATCTCGTATATGCTGCTGAATGCTCAATACCTGATGCATGATCTATTTACACGCTCTGTGAACTACCTGATTTCTATCAGTAATCAATTCCTACGATAAAAGCCTCCGGCGACCGTCACCGCGAGTTCCACGAGACCCTTTACTTCTCAGTCTTATTATAATTCCAAAATTCTGCTGCCAATTGAAAAGCAGTTGGGAAGGCATTATACCAATTCCAGAGAACCTATTAATGTGCCCACGACGTAAAATCTGTGGTAAAATAAACAGGTAAGTTCCAGGCTACTAGTAATAAAGCAAAATAGGTGATTCATCAGCAATTATGTAGTCGTGGCCGAGTGGTTAAGGCGATAGACTTGAAATCTGTTGGGATATCCCCGCGCAGGTTCAAATCCTGCCGACTACGACTCTTGTTATTCCGGAAGATGTTCATATAACACGAGAAATTGCCACTAGGTGGAATTCCGTTTCAAAAAAAAACCAGTCAGAGTAGTTAAAATTTCCAATACCCGATGTGAAATGGTTAATATTATATCCTTTTAACACAAGTGGTAAAATTTATATGCATTCTGATTCGGTTACTAAAATTGTAAATAAACATATGGTGATTGGACTAAAGCAAAATTACCTCTTGTCAAAAGGACCTTTATTTAGAAATTATTGCTCCTTTATTAGGATCTCTATTCTAGGACCTTTATTCTAGGATCTCTCCTATATACAGGGACCTTTATTCAGAAATTATAGGCTCGTTTTCAACAGCAAAATGGGATGTTTTCCGCAAGCACGAATTGACGGAAGTCTCTTAAACCTTAGTTTTTCATGTTATATACCGGAATTTTTTAAATTACCGAAAGATAATGAACGGGTTGGATTCCCGTGCAAGCCCTGATTGCCCTCAAAACTTGAAATTTTTTCGGGATTGAGTTTCTTTCTTTCAAAAAAAAGGCAGTGTTGAACTCAAATTGGAATCTCCCGATAAAACTTTTCCCATGCAGTATCAATCCTCTCAACATACATGCAAGGAGGAGATCTAGTATGCATGAATGTAGACGTTGTCTACATTCGGTCGTAGTCGGCAGGATTTGAACCTGCGCGGAATATCCCAACAGATTTCGAGTCTGTCGCCTTAACCACTCGGCCACGACTACATAATTGTCTTTTGAACCGCAATGATGAAAAAGCACTATAAAACACAAATAAGTATTATGGAAATTGATTTCCAAAAGAACGAATCGTAAACATTGTTCACTATTGTTACAAAAATCCAATCACAAAACTCATTTATATTAGGTAGATACTTATTGAGTTTAAGTGGAAAATGTGAAGAGCCTCGTAAGAGATTCGAACTCCGGACCCCTCGTTTACTAGACCAGTGCTCTAACCACTGAGCTAATGAGGCACATGGAAAAACACTCGTGGTCACTGTTGATATGATTAAATTGATGCAAATTCTTAGCCCACAATGCAACACAGTATTCTTATTAGGTTGATACTTAAATTAAGTTGAGAGAGTGCATCTAATGTTGGAACGGGAACACGTACCACTTTTTTTCACAAGAAAATACAGCTTAGTCATTAACTAGACCATTGGCAAATTGTTGTTAAGGCCGTTCTCTTTGAAGCTAGACGGGCAAACAGGCCATGGTTTATGGGCCCAGCACGCTTCCACTGCCACACCCTGCTTGCTACACACTGCTTCTATGCCATGGATATATACACAGATCTGTATTTTCTTTTAATTAGTTGTGTTTTTCTGAATAAGTTAAGAAAAGCGGGAAATGTTCTTACAGGTATCTAAGAAAATATCAGCGCATGCCGGTATGCACGATCGGGGAGTATAGTTTTTGAGTTCAGGCTTTTCTTCTACACTCCATTTAAGAAAAATTACCTTTCTGAACAAAAAATGACACCTAGAATGTGCACTGAAAAATATGTTTATTGAAATGACAACTTTAGCGGGAAATGGTTTCGATCCATTGACGTCTAGGTAATGGGCCCAGCACGCTTCCACTGCGCCACCCTGCTTGCTACACACTGCTTCTATGCCATGAATATAAAACTTGTGCTATTTCGAATAAGGTAAGAACGGCAGGAAATGTTCTTTCAGGTACCTAGGAGAATAGCATCAGACAGGTATGCACGATCAGGGAGTGTAGCTCAGTGGTAGAGCATTCGACTGCAGATCGAGAGGTCAGTGGTTCAACTCCGCTCGCGTACTAATTAGTGAATTAAAAAACCCAATTTATTTTCGTTGTAACAATCCGTTTGCTTGATAAATAATCCTTGCAGTTTAGTTTTTTTTCAATGACTCTCTGGGACACATGCATGTTCTATAAATTTGTAAAACGGAAGTCCATACCTGGAATACAGGGAATATAATTACTTTATCTTAATAATGTGCGTGTATAGATATACTGTAGAGCCAGGAATTTCTCAGTAATTTTTCTAGGTGTTTATGTCCTGTGGTGTAATGGTTAGCCCTTCGGACTCTGAATACGATTAAATATATAGTTGCCATAGTTAATAGCTATAGTTGCATATAATTTACAAAAGTATGACAACAAGAGCCTCATCAGAGAGTTGAACTCTGGACCCCTGGGGCCGGTTGTTCGAAATGTGGATAAGTCGCTATCCAACGGATAAGTCGCTATCCAACGAATAAGTTTTATCCAGCGTGTGATTTCCGTCGCACGAAGCTTCGATAACTTTATCCAGCGGATAAAAATCGCTATCTACCGGATATCCAAGGTCCGGAGGTGGTTTAAATCCACTATCCAGTGGATAAATTCAAAGATACAAGGTAACACTGTAAACATTTATATAAAATAGGAAATGCCATATTCCTGTTACTGTGTTTCAACAAACTAATACACATCATGATTGTATTCACTATTAAAAATGTTTTCGAAGTGCAATTTGTCGCAGCAGCGTTTCACGTTGCCTACACATTCCCATCCGAGCGGCGATGTTTTGGAGATCCTCGCATTTATAACAGGCGGTAAATTTACTATACGCTTCTAATCAGTTTATAAACGCGAATATGCAAAGAAAGATTCAACCTATTCCAAGGAAACTTGCTAATATCTAAGTAATTTCATTCACGAACATTAAAATAGTGTTCCTAAATTTGCTATGGAACCGAAAGGCAAGCGTTGCAAGGTCAAGGAATAAAATTGCAATGTGTTTGATTAATAAAATCACTATGATGTGAAGTGCAAAGTTCGAGCAAATCACTTGTTCAAGTCTTTTCCATTCAGTAACTATACTCGAGAATTCGTAATGATTATGAATTCAATGTTGTAAATGCTTAGCAACAGCTGACGTTGTGGTACGAAATTTCAGGATAATCCTGTTTTCTTCCGGTAGATTTTACCTTATCTATTGGATAGCTATCCACTTCACTATCCACGCTTCGTGCAACGCGTTTTTATCCAATGGATAACTATCCACTGGATAGCAGATTTATCCGTTGGATAGGACTTATCTGTTGGATAAGTTATCCATCTTTCGAACAACCGGCCCCTGGTTTACAAGACCAGTGCTCTAACCACTGAGCTAATGAAGCGCACGTACAAGCTAACGCGAATATTGTTGCTTAATCTTATAATGTGCACGCATCAAATTATGCTTACAGGGTGTATAAAAAAAAGGTAATCCAACTTTGGCGCGCTATTGTACGTGAACTACTCATTCCAGCAAATGAATTTTTTTCACATTCGGAAAGGTTAGGCTTTTAGTTAACTATCGAATGACATGTTTTTAATACCAAATTATGAAAAAATGAGGAAATAGGAGGCTGATAAAAAGTGTTAGTCAAAATCGCATATTCTCACCTCTGAGAGTTGGGACTAAAACCATTGAAAATTAACTCCCTTTAGGACTTAATTGAAGAATTCTGCTTCCGAATAAACTACCCGCCAATGCATGGTAAGTAGGAATAAATCACATGAGGAGAACATTCCAAGCAATTAATGTGCCGGCGATGTTAACTTTTTATCGATAGAGATGGTGGTCAAGTTGAAGGCATGACGCATAATCTCTTTTTAAAAGTGTGAATGTAAATAATCGCAATAAACATGTTGTAAAACCAGTGCAAGCTGTAACATGTTCGTGATTAATTGTTTTTGTTCTTTTGTTATGCACTGCTTTGATTAGGCTCAAAGGTGAAAATATGCGATTGTGACTAGAGTTTTTTATCAGCCTCGTATGTTCTCATTTTTCACCATTTGGTATTAAAAGCATATCTTTCGATAGATAGAAGCTAGACGAGGTTGGACAAGCGATTAGAAAGTTGTAACGTGAGCTCTCGACTAATGAGATCACCCTATTTTCGCCCTATTTTCCGCTGGGCGACAAAAATACCCTTAGGCATATTGTGTTGTTCTCCTCCACGGCAACCTTTAGCAAAAGGCGAAAGATTTTTTCGTAGGAGAACCAAGGCTTGGATACATCGGTGCTTCTCAGTGCTGTATATACGAAATAGTTTCATTTTTGGAACACGGTAGTCACGGAAGTGCGCGCGCAATGTTATCAATTGTGACGAATATTATTGTTTTTATAATTAGCAGTTGTTCAATCAATTGTGGGGTGTCGTTTGATATTTTAGCGTGATCAATAGCCTTCTGCCTTCTGCCAGGAAAAAGAGCATTGGGAATCCGGATCACGCCTGCTGTTGATCTCGTAAACTTTTGATGAACACCCGCCTGGAAAATCCGGCGGGCGGCAAAAAATACCCTTACCCATTGTGGTTTTCTCCTACACGGAAATCTTTAGTAAAAGGCAAAAGATTTTGTCGTGTAAATGAAGGAGAATCAAGGCTTGGAAACTTCTGTGCTTGTCAGTGCTGTATAAACGAAATAGTTTCTCTTTGGGAACACGGTAGTCACGGAAGTGCGCGCGCAATGTTATCAATTGTGACGAATATTATTGTTTTTATAATTAGCAGTTGCTCAATCAATTGTGGGGTGTCGTTTAATATTTTGGCGTGATCAATAGCCTTCTGCCAGGAAAAAGAGCATTGGGAATCCGGATACCAGCTGTTGATCTCGTACACTTTTGATAAAACCCGCCAGGAAAATCCGGCGGCGACAAAAAATACCCTTACCCATTGTGTTTTCTCCTCCACGGAAATCTTTAGTAAAAGGCGAAAGAGTTTTTTTCGTATAAATGAAGGAGAACCAAGGCTTGGAAACTTCGGTGCTTGTCAGTGATGTATAAACGAAATAGTTTCGCTTTTGGAACACGGTTGTCACGGAAGTGCGCGCGCAATGTTATCAAGTGTGACGAATTAATTGTTTTTATAATTAGCAGTTGCTCAATCAATTGTGGGGTGTCGTTTGATATTTTGGCGTGATCAATAGCCTTTCCAGGAAAAGAGCATTGGGAATCCGGATTACGCCAGCTGTTGATCTCGTACACTTTTGATAAACACCCGCCTGGAAAATCCGGCGGGCGACAAAAAATACCCTTAGGCCCATTGTGTTTTCTCCTCCACGGAAATCTTTAGTAAAAGGCGAAAGATTTTTTCGTAAATGAAGGAGAACCAAGGCTTGGAAACTTCGGTGCTTGTCAGTGCTGTATAAACGAAATAGTTTCGCTTTTGGAACACGGTAGTCACGGAAGTGCGCGCGCAATGTTATCAATTGTGACGAATATTATTGTTTTTTAATTAGCAGTTGCTCAATCAATTGGGGTGTCGTTTGATATTTTGGCGTGATCAATAGCCTTCTGCCAGGAAAAGGAGCATTGGGAATCCGGATTACGCCAGCTGTTGATCTCGTACACTTTTGATAAACACCCGCCTGGAAAATCCGGCGGGCGACAAAAAATACCCTTAGGCCCATTGTGTTGTTCTCCTCCACGGAAATCTTTAGTAAAAGGCGAAAGATTTTTTCGTGTAAATGAAGGAGAACCAAGGCTTGGAAACTTCGGTGCTTGTCAGTGCTGTATAAACGAAATAGTTTCGCTTTTGGAACACGGTAAGTCACGGAAGTGCGCGCGCAATGTTATCAATTGTGACGACTATAATTTTTTTTTAATTCGCAGTTGCTCAATCAATTGTGGGTGTCGTTTGATATTTTGGCGTGATCAATAGCCTTCTGCCAGGAAAGGAGCATTGGGAATCCGGATTACGCCAGCTGTTGATCTCGTACACTTTTGATAAACACCCGCCTGGAAAATCCGGCGGGCGACAAAAAATACCCTTAGGCCCATTGTGTTGTTCTCCTCCACGGAAATCTTTAGTAAAAGGCGAAAGATTTTTTCGTGTAAATGAAGGAGAACCAAGGCTTGGAAACTTGGGTGTCAGTGCTGTATAAACGAAATAGTTTCGCTTTTGGGACACGGTAATCACGGAAGTGCGCGCGCAATGTTATCAATTGTGACGAATATAATTGTTTTTTAATTATCAGTTGCTCAATCAATTGTGGGGTGTCGTTTCATATTTTGCCGTGATCAATACCCTTCTGCCAGGAAAAGGAGCATTGGGAATCCGGATTAAACCAGCTGTTGATCTAGTACACTTTTGATAAACACCCGCCTGGAAAATCCGGCGGGCGACAAAAATACTTTTAGGCCCATTGTGTTGTTCTCCCCCAGGGAAATCTTTAGTAAAAGGTGAAAGATTTTTTCGTATAAATGAAGGAGAACCAAGCCTTGCAAACTTCGGTGCTTGTCAGTGCTGTAAAACGAAATAGTTTCGCTTTTGGAACACGGTAGTCACGGAAGTGCGCGCGCAATGTTATCAATTGTGACGAATATAATGTTTTTTATAATTAGCAGTTCCTCAATCAATTGTGGGATGTCGTTTGATATTTTGGCGTGATCAATAGCCTTATGCCAGGAAAAGGAGTATTGGGAATCCGGATCACGCCTGCTGTTGATCTTGTACACTTTTGATAAACACCCGCCTGGAAAATCCGGCGGGCGACAAAAAAATACCCTTAGCCCATTGTGTTGTTCTCCTCCACGGAAATCTTTAGTAAAAGGCGAAAGATTTTTTCGTGTAAATGAAGGAGAACCAAGGCTTGGAAACTTCGGTGCTTGTCAGTGCTGTATAAACGAAATAGTTTCGCTTTTGGAACACGGTAGTCACGGAAGTGCGCGCGCAATGTTATCAATTGTGACGAATTTTTTTTTATAATTAGCAGTTGCTCAATCAATTGTGGGTGTCGTTTGATATTTTGGCGTGATCAATAGCCTTCTGCTAGGAAAAGCATTGGGAATTCCGATTACGCCAGCTGTTGATCTCGTACACTTTTGATAAACACCCGCCTGGAAAATCCGGCGGGCGACAAAAAATTAACCCTTAGGCCCATTGTGTTGTTCTCCTCCACGGAAATCTTTAGTAAAAGGCGAAAGATTTTTTCGTATAAATGAAGGAGAACCAAGGCTTGCAAACTTCGGTGCTTGCAGTGCTGTATAAACGAAATAGTTTCGTTTTTGGAACACGGTAGTCACGGAAGTGCGCGCGCAATGTTATCAAGTGTGACGAATATTATTGTTTTTATAATTAGCAGTTGCTCAAACAATTGGGGTTCGTTTGATTTTTGGCGTGATGAATAGCCTTCTGCTAGGAAGCATTGGGAATTCCGATTACGCCAGCTGTTGATCTCGTACACTTTTGATAAACACCCGCCTGGAAAATCTGGCGGACGACAAAAAATACCCTTAAGCCCATTGTGTTGTTCTCCTCCACGGAAATCTTTAGTAAAAGGCGAAAGATTTTTTCGTATAAATGAAGGAGAACCAAGGCTTGCAAACTTTGGTGCTTCTCAGTGCTGTATAAACGAAATAGTTTCGCTTTTTGAACACGGTAGTCACGGAAGTGCGCGCAATGTTATCAATTGCGACGAAAAAAATTGTTTTTATAATTAGCAGTTGCTCAATCAATTGTGGGGTGTCGTTTGATATTTTGGCGTGATCAATAGCCTTCTGCCAGGAAAAGGAGTATTGGGAATCCGGATCACGCCTGCTGTTGAACTCGTACACTTTTGATAAACACCCGGCAGGAAAATCCGGCGGGCGACAAAAAATACCCTTACGCCCATTGTGTTTTCTCCTTCACGGAAATCTTTAGTAAAAGGCGAAAGATTTTTTCGTGTCAATGAAGGAGAACCAAGGCTTGGAAACTTCGCTGCTTGTCAATGCTGTATAAACGAAATAGTTTCGCTTTTGGAACCCGCTAGTCACGGAAGTGCGCGCGCAATGTTATCAATTGTGACGAATATAATTGTTTTTATAATTAGCAGTTGCTCAATCAATGGTGGGGTGTCGTTTGATATTTTGGCGTGATCAATAGCCTTCTGCCAGGAAAAGCAGCTTTGGGAATTCCCGATTACGCCAGCTGTTGATCTCGTACATTTTGATAAACACCCGCCTGGAAAATCGGCGGCGACAAAAAATACCCTTAAGCCCATTGTGTTGTTCTCCTCCACGGAAATCTTTAGTAAAAGGCGAAAGATTTTTTCGTATAAATGAAGGAGAACGAAGGCTTGCAAACTTTGGTGCTTCTCAGTGCTGTATAAACGAAATAGTTTCGCTTTTGGAACACGGTAGTCACGGAAGTGCGCGCAATGTTATTAATTATGACGAATATAATTGTTTTTATAATTAGCAGTTGCTCAAACAATTGTGCCGCTTTGGTTTGATATTTTGGCGTGATCAATAGCCTTCTGCCAGGAAAAGGAGGATTGAAAATCCCGATTACGCCTGCTTTTGATCTCGTACACTTTTGATAAACACCCGCGAGGAAAGTCCGGCGGGCGACAAAAAATACCCTAAGGCCCATTGTGGTTTTCTACTTCACGGAAATCTTTAGTAAAAGGCGAAAGATTTTTTCGTGTAAATGAAGGAGAACCAAGGCTTGGAAACTTCGGTGCTTGTCAGTGCTGTATAAACGAAATAGTTTCACTTTTGGAACACGGTAATCACGGAAGTGCGCGCGCAATGTTATCAATTGTGACGAATATAATTGTTTTTAAAATTAGCAGTTGCTCAATCAATTGTGAGGTGTCGTTTGATATTTTGGCGTGATCAATAGCCTTCTGCCAGGAAAAGCAGCATTGGGAATTCCGATTACGCCAGCTGTTTATCTCGTAAACTTTTGATAAACACCCGCCTAGAAAATCTGGCGGACGACAAAAAATACCCTTAAGCCCATTGTGTTGTTCTCCTCCACAGAAATCTTTAGCAAAAGGCGAAAGATTTTCTCGTGTAAATGAAGGAGAACCAAGGCTTGGAAACTTCGGTGCTTGTCAGTGCTGTATAAACGAAATAGTTTCGCTTTTTGGACACGGTAATCACGGAAGTGCGCGGGCAATGTTATCAATTGTGACGAATATTATTGTTTTTTTAATTCGCAGTTGCTCAATCAATAGTGGCGTGTCCTTTGATATTTTGGCGTGATCAATAGCCTTCTGCCAAGAAAGGGAGCATTGGAAATCTGGATTACGCCAGCTTTTGATCTCTACACTTTTGATGAACACTCGCCGGTGCTTGTCAGTGCTGTATAAACGAAATAATTTCGCTTTTGGAACACCGTAGTCACGGAAGTGCGCGCGCAATGTTATCAATTGTGACGAATATAATTGTTTTACTTGCCAGGCGAATTCTTGCTAACAGAAGAACCGAATATTTCAATTTTTTGTTAAGTACCTTTTTCTTCTGCTGTTTTTGCTTTTGAAAGCTGTCGTGATCGTGCATACCTGTGTGATCAATTTTATGATTGATGGTTGAACATTCAAATTATTTATCTTATAATTATGTTGATCCAATCAAAACGTATTCACTTTTAGCAATGTCTAAATTAAGATTGTTTGC